GTGTCAGATGACATGTCCCTGGCAGGTTGCTCAGCGTATCCCCAGTGTGTCCCCAGCATGTCGGACAGTGTATCCCCGGTGTGTCCCCGAAGTGTCCCCAGCATGTTGCTCAGCGTATCCCCAGTGTGTCCCCAGCATGTCGGACAGTGTATCCCCGGTGTGTCCCCGAAGTGTCCCCAGCATGTTGCTCAGTGTGTCCCCAGTGTGTCCCCAGTGTGTCCCCGGCATGATGGACAGCATATTCCCAGTGTGCCCCCAATGTGTCCCCAAAGTGTGCCCGGCAAGTTAGGTGGTGTGTCCCTGGCATATCACGTGGTGTATGCCCAGTGTGCCCCCAACTTGACAATGATTCAGCCAGGCTTGAATGGCCCGGATAGTCACAGCACTCTGTGTGTGTAGCTGGGCTCTGCTTTCTGCTTTTTTTTTACCTATTTGTGACTCTCACATCTTTCAAGGCTTGTAGTCTTTTATTATTTGTTGACTCAAAGATTTTGCCAGCTTATATTTGTTAGTAGAAATTCTGCTGTCACACTGAGTCCAGCTGCATTGTTCTGCACGGCTGGGCTGGACACGCAGGACGCCGGGGGTCACTAGCGGTTCTGTTGACTCTGTGAGATGCAGTCAAAATCTACATTTATTACTGCATCTGGGAAAGAGTCCAAGCCAGGATTCCACAATGAGTCTGTGAAGCCGTAAAAGGGATGGGAGTCTGTTTGATCTGCTCGTTAAAAAGCAGCTCATTTCATGTGCCATTTAGTGTCATACATTGTCATTGGAGTCCAATTTTCCCTAAGTGTGTGAGACTGAGGTTTTAAGTCACTTGTGGACAGAACAGGCTGGCAGTCTGGGGGCCTGCCTGTGTGGGGAAGCCGACTCACTACTCAGAACCTGGGGGGCTTTCCTCTGAGAGAAATCCCACCCTGTCACTGAGGCAGGAACATGACTGCAAAGCTGGTAGCCTGGAGTGGAGCAGTTCAACGTCCATGAGCCAACATTTATCCGGAAATCATCCAGACCGATAAGTGCATGCCACCGGCAGGAGGCTGGAGGCTGTGTGTGTGTGTGTGTGTGTGTGTGTGTGTGTGCCATCCAAACAGAGAGCCCTTTATACCCGCTTTCGTGGGGCCCTTGGCAAAGAGCTCGCCCCTGGAGCATGGCTGCTGGTACTCTGCAGCCATTATGGCAAAGGGAGCAGGGTTAGGGTCAAGCACAGACTGGGTTCCTCACAGAAAAAGGAGAAATTGGGGCAGTCTCTGGAAGCACTCTGGATCTGGGGCCTTCTTTTTGGTCTCAAAAAAGGACTACATTGGACTACAAGTCAGCCTCCTACTGTTTTGGGGCTTAAGACTTTCCCCTTTACTGCAGAGGGAGTGGTCACATTGCAGCACCCACCGCTGTTGGGTCCCGGAAGTGTCACGGTAACGAAGGAGGGGAGCTGATGTCAGATGGAGGGGCCATGTTGTTGAGCTTGACCCGCTACATGGACAGCTGGGTCTGTCCTGGATCGTGCAGGGGCGACACCAAGCTCTGGGCTTTGAGGGTTAGGCTTTCACTTCTACTGCCAGTTTTCAGAGCATGATCAGTGTAAGGGGGTTGATGCCTTGAGGAGTTTGGGTGTCAGGCCGCTCAGTCTGTGTCTCGGGCTGCTGCTCTGTGGCTCGGGTCACTGCGTCTGTGTCTCAGGATGCTCAGTCTGTGTCTCGGGCTGCTGCTCTGTGTCTCGGGTCACTGCGTCTGTGTCTCAGGCTGCTCTGTCTGTGTCCTGAGTCACTGCATCTGTATCTCAGGATGCTCTGTCTGTGTCTCGGGTCACTGTGTCTGTGTCTCGGGTCACTGTGTCTGTGTCTCAGGATGCTCTGTCTGTGTCTCGGGTCACTGTGTCTGTGTCTCAGGATGCTCTGTCTGTGTCTCGGGTCACTGCGTCTGTGTCTCAGGATGCTCTGTCTGTGTCTCGGGTCACTNGTCTGTGTCTCAGGATGCTCTGTCTGTGTCTCGGGTCACTGCGTCTGTGTCTCAGGATGCTCTGTCTGTGTCTCGGGTCACTCCATCCAGATCTTTCTCTCTTTTTCACACACCCAGTGACGCACGGTGAATCCTGTCTTAAGACCCAGCTTTCCTGTGAGACACATTTCCAGCTGCGTTTCCAGCCAGCCACCCCCTATGACTGCACACTCATAGCTCCTGTCATTTTCACCATGATTCTGCTTCCCGTCCGGCCATCTGCCAGCTCGGCTCGTAGAGGCATCCCGAGAGCTCCAGGCTGGAGGGGAGGCAGCTTCTACTCTGCTCTCGTTTAATTTCAAAGCCATCAGTCAGCTTGTGCCTGCAGTCACGTCTTGGGGGAGTCTTCCTCTGCCCTCCTCTCTGTCTCAGATTAGAGGCACTGGTGGGGGGAGGTAATGGGCAGACATGCCAGACAGATTAGTCAGGAAGGGGTCCCGCTTTACCTGACTCGACTGATTGGACAGGCGGTCCAGGCCCCAGCCAGCAGAAACGTCACATGGCACCACCTGTGAGTGCACAGGGACATCGCCTTACGGTATCCTTTACAGATCAGGCGGTACAAGACAAGCCGGCAGGACATCAGTTTACACCTTCTGGGTGTGTAATCCCTCACATGCTGTGAGGCTGTGCCCACCCAAACCGCAGCCCCCGCTGTCCTCGGCTTCAACCCGCCAGAGCACAATGCGGCGGGGGGCTATGGCAGACGTGATCTCACTATGCCAAGCCGTCTGGACGGCTGCTATCAGGATGCACGGATAGCTTTACTTACAGACTGCGCGCCTGCTGCCTGCAGGGGGCGTAACCACATAAGGATGAAGGATGAAAGTCTGAAGTAACGTATAGGATTCTGAGCTTGGCAGCTCAGTAGAGACACCCTCCTCAGGGGTTGAGGGTTCGAATTCCACCGGCACTGTGTGTGTGTGAACGGGTATACCTTACCTTATGGGGACACAATGTCCCCACAACATGATGAATACCCGTTTTTTCCCTTATGGGGACGAGGAAACTGGTCCCCATAATGGAAATCTCAATTTAATTAAATTTGTGACTGCAATGAAAAAACTAAAAATGCAAAACCTCTTGTATTTTGCTTGGTTACTTATGGTTATGGTTAGGGTTGGGTAGGGGTTAAGGTTGTCATAGTTACTGTTAGCATTTTTCCCATAGAAATGAATGAGCGGGCCCCATAAAGATATTTTTAGCTGACGTGTGTGTGTGTGTGTGTGTGTGTGTGTGTGATTTTTTTTATGTCCTCCTTGTGTCACATGTTGTTCCTCCCATTATACTAACTCGTGTCTGTCTAATGCTCCCAGGGTGAGCCCTGCCTCGTGTCCTAAACTGACAGGGTTAGGCTTCTGCCCCCCTGTGATGCTGTCCAAGATAAGTGTCTGGTGCAGTTAGTATGTAGCCCCTCTGAGGGGGGGAAGAAGCCAGTAGATGGACGGCTAGAGAAGTAAATGGTGATCATACATGGCTGGGACCACGCTGGTAAATGTAATCGTAACACAGCGTTGTGAAAATTCAGCTGTGTGTTTCTGGAAGTCTCTGTCACCTGTGCAAGGTTCCTTCTGCCATTTTCTTGTGCATAATGAATCCAAAGTTGCCAATGGGCAAATGCTTTCTGGATGGGACCACATGATGGGGGGGGGGGGCTTCCCTGCACGTCTGACCCCTTCTCTTTTCAGTCCCCCAGGTCTGGCCGGCAGCCCCGTCATCTCTGACATCTCCCTCATCCGCCTGTCCCCACATGGAGCGGGCACCGGGGAGCCCCCATTTAACCCCCCACACCCCTACATGGGCTCCCACATGGAGCATTACCTGCGATCCATGCACAGCCCCACGCTGTCCATGATCTCGGCGGCCCGGGGACTCAGCCCGGCAGACGGTGAGTGATCCATGATTCACCCAATGTCTGTAGTGAGACAGATTAAACATGCGTGACTGAGCTCTGGATCAGGTGCAGAACAATCCCAGAGCAGGTCACTGAAATTCTCTGCTGGAAATACTGAGATTACTCGATGTTCCTGGTGTGATTTGATTGATAACTCAGAACCAACTTTAAGACCAGCATGCATGGCACCTTCAGAGGATGGGAGGTTCATTGTCAGGACCCTCGATGCTTATTGTGATGCACATCAACACCAATGAATGACCCCACTGGTCAGGCGCCCTGTTATGCATTAATGATGACTTTCTCTTTCTGGCAATGGCCCAAACTGCACTGAGCTCTCAGAGAGAAATAAAACCTCTAGTCGTGAGCTGATGGGTCCCTCAGTACCTGTCCAGGTGTCTGTCTACCTGTGTTCTTATTTTTGGAGCAGAAAGGAGACTCAACAGCCTATTTATGAAGACGTAACGAGGCGTCTTTCGGCAGAACAGGGCCGCGATAACAGGCTGTGGCAGGGAGCCAGACACAGATGAATCAGCCTTTACAGTCTGTCAGCACCTTGGAAGTTTAAGCGGCAGAAGGGAGATGTTCCCACTGATAAGGCAGTCAGGGGGGAAGCCACTCGCATACCAAATCGATTCTGACTGCTATGCAGACAGCGTCATCTGTAGCCCTGGATTTTGTCAGAATACAGACAGCAGATTCAGCTCACACATGCGGGATGGTGCCAGCAGAACTGTGCCAGCTTTCCATTAGAGGAATGTGAATGAGGCCGTGCTTAATCCCAAATGATCCACACCTGGGGACCATTCCCCCGAAATGTCACGGTGACTTGGACATCGGGAGGTGATATGGGGCACTTTCAAGGGTCCTGCATGCTCCTCCTTCCCACCAGCGGGGTTAGTCCTATACCCTGGGCATATGCTCCTGGCCGAACAGAGAAACCCATAGTACCTGGGGGAGGGGACGCATGGGGGAGTCTGTCCCCCCACCCTGGCAAGCCGGAAACCAGGTTGACAAGCAGTTAAACAAATTCATACCTGACATTCATTGCTCGTGACACTTTTACAAGCACTTTACGGGGTGCTGATGGCAGTATGGGAGACGCCTTTCGCTCTGGTGTGGAGATTTCGGCGATCTGAGCAAAGACTCTGCTGGGAAAGCTGGAAAGCCGCACCGTCTCTCCTCGTCCATCCTCACGTCAGAAGCTCCTCCTCCCATCACACTCCACCCCGCCTCCCTCTCAGATACCTTCAGCGCTCCTTATCGCCAGTCCCCTGAATTCTCCCCTCTCCCCTCCACAGTGACGCACGAGCACTTGAAGGAGCGTGGCCTCTTCAGCCTGGCCCCGCCCCCTCCGGGGGCCAACCCGGCTGAGTACTACCACCTGATGGCCAGCCACCGGCATTCGTACGGGGACCTCCTCCTGCAGACCGGGGCCGCAGCCGCCTCGGCTCACCTGCCGGACTACATGAGCCCAGTGGACAGTAAGTGGAACCTCGCGAATTCCCTTCCATGCAATTTGCTCATCTGGTGTTAACTCATTAATACCTTATGATGATGCACATTTTTTTTTAAAGATAAAAATGTAAATTTAAAATACATTTTACGTACAAACGTTTCAAAATACGGAGTGTGTGACAGGTTAGATCTAAGGGTTAGCACAGGCGTGTCAAATGAATAATGTTGCCAGATAATCAAACATCTGATTGGTTGACTCTTTTATGCCCGTGCCCCGTACCCCATGCCAGGGAGCTGCCGTCACCTAAACTGCCCCCACGTTCCCACTGGCACTTCAGACACATGGACGCACGACTTAAACTGCGAGCCACGTTGGGGGCGTGGTGGCGGGTAACCGATAGGGGCGGACCGCAACCCCCCTCAGGCACCGCGGCCGTTTGCACAAGCCGACCCCCTGCTCTGTTTACCCAAACACCCACAGAGCCGCAGTGCGCAGCCCTCACCTTGCCTCGCCTCACCGGGGCCATGTTTAGCTTTCCTTCTCAGTGAGCTTGATCCTGCCTGGCACTGGGAGAGCAGGCCTCTGGGTCCTGGCCGGACACAGAACCACCATTGAGGCAGACTGCTGGCTGGGAGAGGCTCTCCAATGAAGGGCTGCATTTATCTGCCCGCTGGATGGATATTCAGCACGGTCTCCCTCACTCCGAGACGGGCCCCTGATAAATTTATATGCATATTTAAAACCAATTTATACGCTAATAAATTCTGCGGACCCACCGCAGGCCCACGCCCGCGTGCACTCAGGTGTTTCCTTTCGCTTACCGGTTACGGGACATGGCTCAGGGAAAATTTGGCTCAGCCGTGAATAGCGTCCCCTGTTCTGAACAGAAAAACCTTATTAGGTGAGTTTCTTCCAGAGTATGGATATGCATAAAATTTATAATATGCGGTGCGCCAACGCTTTGCTGAGGATTTCCATGATGTCCACAGTGGATGGTTGAACAGGATCTTTGCAGCGAAAAGCCGTGGGAAGCCGACCGAGGCAGAGTTGGTCCTCCAGCGGGAGGGAGCCCAGGGGCACAGGCCTGCATAGGGCTACATCGGGTCTGCTGTCATACTGGGTGCCTCGCCAACAGCATGTCAGCCCAGGTTGGCGTGAGCTGTCGTGTTCCCAGACATCGCAGCATGTGGACCAGGGCGTCCCGAGAGTGGCTCCTGGGCGTGAGGGATTAATCCGTCACCTGTGCAGCTTCCCCAAGATGCTTCACTGGGTGCCTTTCAATAAAAGCAGAGAGTGCTCCTTTCAGGGGCCGCTCCTCAGCTGCCTGCATGGATGCACGCATAAATAAATAAATGAGGCCGTTGCAAACCGCAGCCGAATTCCCTGGGCAGCCCTGAGCTTGGTAAACACTCGGCAGGACCCAGACTATGGTAATGTGCAGCCAAGACGCTACTCGTAAGCCCCCCACCCGCTCTCTGGGTCAAGCAAATAGAAGGACACCTTGTCTCTCATTAGGCAGCTCAGAGGGACAAACTTGATGGGGCAGGGGGTACAACTCTCCTGAAGGAAAATACTGGAATAATTTGGGACTGGAGTTCCAGGGTGTCTGGAGAGTAGCCTCAGCCAGAGAAAATACCTGCAGTCCAGGAGCAGGCTTGAGCAGACAGTTTGGGAACAAGGAGTGACACCATGTTAGGAACAGAATGCTGACCATGTGCAGTCTGTTAGAGGCAGAGGTCCGTTGCAGGTAGTGATCTATTAGTGGTCTGTTAGAGGTAGAGATCTGTTCGAAGTAGTACTCAATTAGTGGTCTGTTAGAAGGAGCAGTCTGTTGGAGGTAGTGGTCTGTTAGTGGTGTGTTAGAGCTAGCAGTCTGTTTGAGGTAGTGGCCCATTGGATGACATGGTCTATTAGTGGGCTGCACCCCACTGCACCAGACACCAAACTTCTGGTACTGCAAAACAGTACTAAAGTCAACAGTTTTATACACTGGCATGAAAAACTAGTAGTGGCACAGAATGGTATAATCAGTGGCCAGCACTGCATTGTTATGCGTATCACACTTAAATATACATTAATAACAACATCATTCGATAATGTTTCTTATAATCGTGTAATGTTTGTCGTTAATGTATATTAAAGCTAATAAACATGTTTGGGTCACATGGTATGTGTGTATGCTGCTTTTGAATGTTATATGAATGCATCATGAAGGTGCAGTTAATGTAAAGCGTTACCAAATGCTTTTTTATTTCTTATCATGCCACCCAGAACTCATTGAATCTGTTCTTCTGGCCCGATCACGATTATATCTTGGGTCTCTTCATTTGTCCATACATCTGTTATTATTACTTATTTTTCTTACTTTGTTTATTATTTATTTTCTCACTTTATAATTCTGCTTTTTCAAGATGGCAGTTTTATTTTTGTATTCTCGAGGCAGGTTATTTGCATAATCAGTAATAACAATAAATGCATTTGCATGTCCATCCCCAAAGTACCAAAGCGCTGAACACGTACCTCAGCTGGTTTGATATTTCAGTACTGGTACTGGAACGGAAGTCAATGGAAAAGGGCAGTAACAATTATTTAGTACCAGAAGTTCAGTACCTGTTGCAGTGAAAAAAATCTTTAGAGGTAGCGGCCCATTGGAGATAGTGGTCTATTAGTGGTCTATTAGTTGTCTGTTAGAGGTAGTGTTTTTGTAAGGAATACATTGTGGAGACCAAATTTCCCCACAATGTGATAAAAACTTGTACCTTTTTAACATGGGGGGACATTTTTGAGTCTTCACAAGGATAACCTCAATTTAATAAATATCCGTGAAGGCAATCAAAAAACCAAAAATGCCAAAAGTCTTGCATTTTGTTTGGTTACTTGCGGTTCAGGTTAGGGCTTGGTAGGGTTAGGGGTATCATTGCTTTGCCCATAGAAGTGAATGAAGAGTCCCCACAAAGACATGAATACATGGACTGTGTGGTTAGTGGTCCTCCAGGAGTCTGCGTCAGGCCCGCCCAGGAAGGCTCATCACCAAAGCTNGAGTCCCCACAAAGACATGAATACATGGACTGTGTGGTTAGTGGTCCTCCAGGAGTCTGCGTCAGGCCCGCCCAGGAAGGCAACAGAGGTACCTGCATGTGTGTGTGTGTGTGTGTGTGTGTGTGTGGAGCAAGATGGGGGTGGCTATGGGGGGCGGGGGGGTGGCAATAGCTGAGCATTAATCACCAGGCGGGAGGGGGGGAGAGCAAGGGGCCAGGCAATCGCGGTACGGCCGCCTTCGCTTCTTTTCCTCATTCATCACAGGAAGCGGCACGCTAATAAACACGACTCCCCGAAGGTGAGCCGGCGGTGATGGATAAGGGGCCCGCCGCGCGGATCCCAGCCAAACCCGGAGCGGACGTGGCCTACTCTGCCGGGCCACGCTCTGCTTGTCAGTCAGGCCTCCTGCCCGCCCCGACGCCACGCTGTGGACCTGTGCATTTGGCTGTGGAATGTTACCGCTCACTTTATTCTGTGCTCTTCACCCACAGCTGAACCCATAATTTGCCAAAATTGCCGGCACTCGCATATGGAGGCGGCGGCGTGAGCCCCGATAAGATCCCTATCTCGCATTCCCGGTATTTTTAACAGAGGGAAGCTGAAAACACAGCAGGGCATGAGCTGGGGGTAGACGGACGAGCAAAACAGCCCCCAGCCTCTCTAAAGCTGCCTCTGCAGGCAGGACATGTGCAAGGCCTATTTAAGGGCTTCTGGTTATACCCTGCCCCTGGCCCTTTGCCCCCTGCCCCTGGCCCTTTGCCCCCTGCCCCTGGCCCTCCTCCACATCCCTTGCTAACACGGAGCACCTGTTGAACCTGAAGTAGCAGGGGCACATTGGCTCATGCTTTACACACATGAAGCCTGACAGTGGTCCTCATGGCGATCAGACCTTGCCAGGGGCTCCCAGCCCTGCTCTAGCTGTAACGCTCAGAGAGGCAGCCCACTAATCGGAATAAACAGACACATTACACAGCTTTAAGCCAAAAACACTGGTTCAGTCTCCAGCCTACAAATTTCACTGGAAAGCAGGGGGCGACTGAATATCATTAAAAAGCAGCTATTCTCATTGTTTACTTATCAAAATATTATTTAAAAACAGCACAACTGGACCTTTTCTGTTCTTCATTCATTCAGATCAATTCGGCAAATTGCCTCCATTTAACATGCTGCCTTGTAACCACTGCAGTGAGATTCTTATCACAGTAATTAGTGTAAATTATCAGGAATGATTAATTACCCACTGGAAGGCCTGAATGTGACCATGGCAGCCGGAGATGAAAGTGTGCGATTGTGCAGTGAGGTGGTGCTGGAATGACTTAAACCACTCCAGCATGGCTGGACTGACCCCTCTCAGCAGACACATGGGTGTCCGTCTGCTCACTGCGCCGTCTTCAAGCTAACCCTGTGGACGAGAAGCCAGAACCGTGCCCCAGCTCCTGCCACTTAAAATGGATTTGACTTTCATTTTAGTTGTGGTACCAGATCTATCTGTGCAGTACGAGGCCCGTGAATCCCGTTTATCAGCAGCCGAAAAACCCGAGCAGGAGGTAGACGTCAGCGGGAGACATTGACAGACATATGACCACCTCGTCTGTGGTCTGCCAGCCTTCCCCTCCTGCCGTCACAGGTCCCAGGGACCCCTCACCTTTCTACTGTTTGCACAGTGATATTTTTCACACACAGGACCTACAGCTGCACACATGGGTGCTCTGGTGGGTGGAATGTCCGTCAGACCCCCATGCAGAATGTTTACCGCATTAATGGTGAATCCGTTTGCGGTACCAGTGGCCCCATGCTTTGCTGCCAGGGGGGCCACGGCTGGCCGAGGGATGTCATGGGCCGCATCCATCACTCTGTTCTCACGAGGCTCCAGAAATAAATGGCCACTGGCCAGGGAGGAAAGTGACAGTGTGTTTTGCCCCTGGAGCTTTCCGCCGTTACCTGGCTGCATTGATAATCCCAGCAGTGCAGTGGGTCACTGTCCCTTTAGGGCGGCGGTCACACCTTCCAGTCAAGCTGCTTAACAAGGTACCGAATATGTGCAACCAGTTAACCAGCCTGTAATTTATAAACAAACCTTTCTCTTTCTAGGAATTGAAGTCGATGGTAAATAGACATGATGTCTGTAATGTCTGTACTGGGTGTTAAAGCCTCTCTCCTCCCCCCCCATAGTGTCCCGGTTCCCCAGCCCCCGGCTGACTCCCCGGCTGAGCCGCAAGCGTGCCCTGTCCATCTCACCCCTGTCAGACACCAGCATCGACCTGCAGACCATGATTCGCACGTCACCCAACTCGCTGGTGGCCTACATCAATAACTCCCGGAGCAGCTCGGCAGCCAGCAGCTCCTATGGACACCTGTCTGTGGGGGCCATCAGGTATGCAGGGGGTGTGGCTAAAAGGATGCACCAATCAGACTTGAGCGCACATCCCTCCACTTGTCTCAGCCCAGATGACCGATGTCACATGGCGCTTGCCTGGAAGGACACAGTCCAGTGACACGTCTCCCCATGTTGTTCCTTCTTTTGCCGCAGTCCCTCATTCCCCTTCCCCCACCCCATCAACCCCGTCGCCTACCAGCAAATCCTCTCACAGCAGCGGGGACTCAGCGCCTTTGGCCACACGCCGCCCCTCGTCCAGCCCGCCCCCACCCTCTCGGCCCGGCAGCATCCTCTGGGCCTCTCCACCCTTCCCCCTGCCATCCACAGCACAGAGTCCAGTAAGGTGAGCCCTGTCGGGGATTGTGGGAGAGGACCAGCACCAGGATGGCATAGCTAAGAGCAAGCATAAAAATCGTCTTACGGTTAGCTGCTAAATCCTGTTTGGATCCACAACAATTCAATGTTGACTTTCACAACAGAGAAGGTATTTGTTACCCAGCAGTCCATCTACTGGACTGATTCTGATTTTTATCATAATCACTTGTTCCAGTAGAAGCCCCAGTTGGAAGCTGTTATGTAAATGTTTTAATGTTTTGAACTTGTGTGCCATGTACCAAACCCTATCTCTAAACGCCAAACCTTAACCCTAAACCCTAACTCTATGGTACCTCCTCTCAGAACGCCAGCAGCGATTCTGCGGTCAGCAGCACCGTCAACCCCATGATTACAAAAAGGTCAAAGGTCAAAACAGAGGCAGAGGGCCCTCGACCAGCCTCCCCCTGCTCTCAGGTAAAGGCCCAGGCTTCTTGATGTGCCCACTGGCTTTCAGTGGTTCCTGTGGTGAATCGCAGTTTATGAGAATGCATGGCTTCATGTGTACGTGACTTATTCATGGGAAGCTGGAGAAGCTGCCCTTTGTGCTGGAGGTTTGATCCATCCTCCATGCTCCATCTTGGCCCCAAACCAAAAATTCCCTGTTCTCCCTGTGAAGTCCCACTCTTTTCCCCAGCCTGTGTCTCTCTCTGCTGTGCAAGTTTTTTTTTTTTTTTACTTTGCCCTGAACTCTCTAGGAGTAAAATCGCATCTCTGGCACCTTTTTGTCTGCACGCTACGGCGTTCCATTACCCTCAGGAGTCATTTTTCCCTGAAAAACTGTGTTCGGACCAATGGTGCATCAGCGGGCCCAGAGGAGCGGCCAATCCCCCGGCTCCGCTCTCTGAGCACCACGAGAACTTTACGTCCATTCACGCGCTTTCCCCCTTCCTCCTCTCGGCCACGCCAAACCATGCTGCTGCACTTTGTTTTAGTGAAATATTGGCTGTCTGTTACTGTCAGCCGAAGGGGGCTCCTTGAGGCGCACCCCCCTCCCAGCAGCCGTACCGGAGGCAGCCTCGACCGTGATGCATGGGTCTGGCGGCGCCTCCATCGTCCTGGGGCCTGCAGAATTGATGAAGACAGCGTTCAGGGGCGGAGATGAAGATGCTGTCGTCAGCAGGCCAGGGGCAGGCTGGGGAATGGAGAGGGGGGCTATCTGTGTGTGGGGGGGGGGGGGGGGAGGTGGAGCTTCAACACGCCGCTGCCATCTGGGGGGGCACGTTTACAGGCCCCTGGAGTCGGGCTCTTATCGAGGTTTTTCTGTTTCTGAGGAATGCCATTAACTGTCACATGGAGACCATCTAACACAATTTAAATTAATGCCCCTTAATCACAGGCCTAGAACAAAACTGCATGCGCGGTGGGGTGATTTGGGGGGGGTGGCGGTGTTTGAAATCACTGATAAAAGAAAACATTTTTTTTTCCCACGTCCCACATTAGAGAGTTTTGGGCCTTTTAAGTTTTAGAGTGCAGCCATCTTGGCTCGTGCTGCTGGAGGGCTATCCACCCACACGTGGGGGCAGGGAGCAGCTACCCAAATACACGTATCCTGGGGCGTCCCAGACGCAGGCTCAGGCAGAGAGATGTCCTCGAGACTGTGAATGGAACAGGTCTGACCGTGACATCCTTGTGACAGGACCACCTGGGCGGGCTTCTGGACCTCAAGGAAGACCTGGACAAGGACGAGTGCAGGCAGGAGCCAGAGGCTGTGTACGAGACACACTGCCGCTGGGAGAGCTGCGCCAAGGAGTACGATACCCAGGAGCAGCTGGTGCACGTAAGTGAACAGCCTGGCACACACACGCATACACACACTGTCCAGACACCTCCTGTGGCCTGCCGCCACTGCTGCACATTGCATTGTGGGACAGCTGGGGGGAACATTGCATCATGGGATAGCTAGGGGACACATCAGAAGACATGATGCTCTGTGGCACAGAAGTCTTTTTTCCCTTTTATTTTAAGACATGTTATTTTAAGAAACAGCCAATCACAACTTCAAGGGATTCATCCATGCCATTGCTTAATTAAAACCATTTTTCTGAATAGCAAGTAAGTGTCACTGTCCCATGACTGAGTTTGGATTAGTGAGAATGTTCTAGAAATGGTCTGGAAGTGCAGCTGTGTCAGAAGGCCCCTGACCTCCACTGTTACAAGAAACCTGACCTTTGACCCCTGGGGCTCAGATCGAATATGTCATCACACTGGGATCTCCAAATTCCCAGCTCCTCGTTTTAAGCTGAAGAGCGATACGATTAGCACTGAAGCCTTCCCCGCCCCACCCTGCAGAGCCTATGGGCTGGGTCATGCGTCACAGTGTGGGGCCGCACTGCGGCTTTTCCTCAGGGTCAGCACTCGATCCTCCCACATTCTGCTGCTGAGGTCAGCACATTGGTGGGTGGCGCCATTTTACCCCCATACCACTGATTCCAGGCAGGCCCAGGCTGGTCTCACCCCTGGCTGCACCCACCTCTTCTAACTCCCCTGTTCATGCAGCACTTAAAGATCAAAGTACTGGGCTCGGTTGGAGTGTGAGCCAGGCCTGCGATGACAGTAACCCGCAGCGGGCTGAGAGGACGCAGTCCTGTCATGTGTCTGCTTGGGAGCAACAGAGAAGTGATTACAGACAGCGTGTCCTCATCTGAAGCTGATTGTTTGCCGTCTTAAACACCACACACTCAAGTCCTCTTACTCTTCTACTATTAGTAGTCATTTTCAACAGGAGACCCCCAGCATGAACAGAAGCCTCGGGGGGCGTCCCAGCCACATGCCGAATGCAGTCCCCCGATGGTTTAATAGTGTAGGTACAGTGAGACGGCAGCCGGGGGGGGGGCGTCCCAGCCACATGCCGAATGCAGTCCCCCGATGATGTAATAGTGTAGGTACAGTGAGATGTCAAAAATGTGTCTGAGCCAAGAAAGTGGGAGGGGGGGGGTAAGGTTGTGATGGGGCATTTGAGAGTCATTGCTGGACGTCTGTGTGCGCTTCTGATGTAGCACCTGAGCGATGGGGTCACCTTAGCCGCTGGGCTGCTGTGGGCCACCCCTCCCCTCCTCAAACGACTGGGAGCATGGGCTGAGGGTTACACAGACATTCCTGTCTGTCAGTGAAGCGTGGTGCAGAGGTGGGGGCCACGGGCTTGGGCGGAGGTACAGAAACGCTCAGGGGCCGGCCTCTCTGCTGCAGGCTTGTTTAGGGATGGAGCTCAGTCCCGCCATACACTCACTGCACACATGATAGTAATCATGCTTGCTGTCCGATACTCGTGTTCGTCTGTATCTCTGTGTGGAGCATGTGTAACATGAGCCTCCGCCACTCACGCATCTGGATCTCCAGGCACAGGGTTATGGGGTCTCAGTGTGGGGCTTACGGGTAGTTTCACCACCTTTCCACGCAGCATGTTCCTGCAGGGGGCGCTAATGAGGCAGGAGATGCCACACCGCCCTCAGTGAGCCGTGGCTCCGTGGGCAGGTTCACCAGGGCCCTGAATCACCGGCGCTGATCCGCCCGCCTGTATTGAGTGAATCCAAACCCACAGAAGTTCCATTTGTGTTCCCGGGATTTTCCCAGACGATCATTTCGATTTGTGCATGGTGCCGAATCCCTCTAATGGAGATGGTATGTGTCCCCCCCCCCCCACACACGCGGGGTCCCCGACAGAAGAACGAGCGAGTGCGGCGCCCTTTTCTCTAAGCGTGACAAATGGAAACGCACCGTCAGCCCTGATGGATGACATCGCTCCTCAGATGAATGGCTTCTCTGTGGACTCCCTAAATTAGGAGGCTGTTTTCACAAGCCCCTATTAGCCGGGCCTCTCCGGAACGGCACGGCACCCTCGTAGCTCAGGTGTCTGCCCACTGAGTCAAACAGCGGCCCTGATCAAAGCTTAAAGGCGGCTAGCCCTATCAAAACCACCCTCGGGGATGGCGGGGGTGGGTAGGGGCTGTCTCACCGGGGTCTGGACGCTCCCACGGCTGAGCCCTCCCCTGTCGGCACGCGCTAAGCTAATTTGTCTCCTCCCCCCTGCTTTGCAGCACATCAACAACGAGCACATCCATGGGGAAAAGAAGGAGTTTGTGTGCCGCTGGGAGGAGTGTTCGCGGGAGCAGAAGCCCTTCAAGGCCCAGTACATGCTGGTGGTGCACATGCGGAGGCACACGGGCGAGAAGCCACACAAGTGCACGGTGAGTGGGGGTATGGGGACATATGACTGCGTCAGGGCCAGCACAGGTGTGAGGCTGCATGCGGGGGTGCACAGGCACGGGTACTATATGCAACACGGATCCAGGTAGATGCATATATGTAATGCTCACATGCATGCAAAGACACACATATATAACACACACAAGCACAAATATAATCATGGCAGCATGCAGATGCATACGTGTTCATGCCTGATAGTATCAAAAGCACATAACTGCATAAACCAGTATTCAGTTAGACATACCCAACACAAGGGCATGTGCATTTAAAGAGTCTTTCGTAATGATTCTTTCTGAGAATTATTTATTCATTAGGCCTCTTATGCCTGTGTTTATGATTCCATTTTAAGCATATGACCAGATGTGAGAGCAGCATGGCCTCCAGGGTAATGGCCAGGATCTCAGCGCGTTAGAGATCTGGCTGCTTATTAACACATATGAGCTGATGTAAGGCGCCTTGTCTCAGGGGCGGCTCTGCATTCTGAAGTTAACTGCAGGCTACTTCAATAGCCACTAATTAGCCATCTCACTATAAAAGCATCTGATAGTGACATGAGAAAACACTAGAACTGTATCATCTCATCACTTCGTCACTCCGTCAGTGAGTCATGGCTTCACTGCATCACCAGATTACTGTCATCAATTCATTGTGTCACCAAATCACCACGTCACCCTGTCACCCCATCACTGCGTCACCAAATCACTGCATCATTCCTTCACTGCATTACCGCCTACCTCATCCGCAGTTCGAGGGCTGCTCGAAGGCCTACTCACGTCTGGAGAACCTGAAGACCCACCTGAGGTCCCACACCGGTGAGAAGCCCTACGTCTGTGAGCATGAAGGCTGCAACAAGGCGTTCTCCAACGCCTCGGACCGGGCCAAGCACCAGAACCGAACCCACTCAAATGAGGTATGACAGTTCTGTAGGATCAGGGACATTTTTATCGTTACACTAATTAGTTAGCAATGGTGCAGCCTAATGTGAACACAGTGTCATGTTTGACCTCACGAGCTGCTTCTGCTCCCTGCTGTTCACCTTCAGCATTCTCGCTGGGGGGGCTAGTGCGGCACACCGTCTGGGAGCAAGGTGGTCCACACTGTATTAGTAGGAACCAGCGGGGGTCCCTCCTGTGTGACACCACCTGGGGGTCAGCGGCGCATCATTAGACCCAGAACGTCTCTGGTTTCTCGCTACCTACCAGCAGATTTAAATGAGCACTGGGATCACTGAGCTCGCAGGAAGTTCGGCAGCAACAGCTCTAACTTTATTACAGCATGTGGGACATGAATCACGCCATGAACGCTTACCGGGATCTTAATCATCCCACTGTCGATCTGCGTGCATAATTCATATCCTTCATTGGACACTATGGTCACATGGAGAGCTGCTGTGCCAATCAAGGGGGGTGTTTAATCCATAGTCATGGGTTTGGTAGTGGGCAGCGCTATTGCATCACAACTCCAGGGCTGGGGGTCGGTTCCTGACCCCTGGAGTTTCCATGGTCTCCCTATGATTCCTCCAGATAGTCCAATTTCCTCCTGGCATCCAAAAACTGAAAACCAAAAACTTGATTTCCATAAATTGCCCTTAATGTGTGAATAAGTGTGTATGAGTATGCATATGTGAGTATGCATGTGATGATGATATGTATGTGAGTACGTGGGTGAGTATATGTGAATATGTGTATGGAGAGTATGCATGTCTATGCATGTCTATGTGTGTGTGAGTATAGGTGAATTTGTGTGTGAGTGTGCGTGTGTGATTTTGTATGTGCAAGTATGCATATGTGAGCATGTGTGTGTGAGTATATGTGAGTATGTGTGTGATATGCGTGTGTGATTTTGTATGTGTGAGTATGTGTGTGTGAGTACATGTGCCCTGTAATGGCCTGACATCAGGTGCCCCTGCCTGGTTCCTCATATTACTGCAAGCAATTATGAAAGAGATACTAACATCTGAGTGTTTCCAATATAGTAAACACTCTGGATGTCTGTCTGTATAGAAACCTTACGTGTGTAAGATCCCCGGATGCACCAAGCGCTACACGGACCCCAGCTCTCTCAGGAAGCACGTGAAGACCGTCCATGGCCCCGAAGCACATGTCACCAAGAAGCAGCGCAACGATTTGCCCTCCCGCACCCATCCCCCCCGTGAGAATGGGGAGAATGAGGCCAGTGCCAAGCAAAGTGCAAGAGGCCTGGAAGACAAGCTGGAAAGCAACAGCACCACCAGAGGCATGGAGGACTGCCTGCAGGTCAAGCCGATAAAGACAGAGAACTCTGTGGTAAGATCCCAGCAGGTGAATGCCTGCACACATACACCGTTCAACTTGCCCATAATGCACTGGGATAACCTTCCCGCTTAAATCAATGTGAAGAGAAGGGGGAAATCTTACTATCAGATTCTCAGGCTGAATTCCTTGTAATATGGTATTTTGCCACATGAGATAAAAGATCCTTAATCTAAATGACAGTATAACCAAGCTGCCTCCCATACCAGTCTCTGGTAAGCACCTTGGGTCCATAAAACCAAGCTGGCTCCCACAATAGTGTCCGGTAAGCACCTCGGGTTCAAAGCACTGTCATCACTCAGAAATTGCCCGGGCTATTCTGAGTTAGTGCCTCTCATTTTACTGAAGTGCCCTAGACCAGGGGTGTCTAAACAGTATTCCACTGGGCCACAGAATGCTGGGGGTTTGGGGGAGGGGTTGGTTAATTTCCAAAACATAAATGATATATAAACACAACATATGAACATCGGCCCATGAACATCAAAAGGTCGGCACAGACTGTATCGTATGCGTCAGTAAGCTGGTGGCAGAGGACCTCTCCCCGTCAAGCTCAAACTTATGCTGCCGTGTTACTTTTCCTAAACTGTGATCCTTCCTCCTCTGACTCGCTTTCCTGCTTGAATGTGTCTCTTTTCTCTCCCTTTACACTTCCCTTACGGACAGACATTACTAAGGTGAGCATGGCCTCAGGTCAGTTCTTGTTCAGCGGATAAAGATGTTTCATAATGCAACTCCAAACACGAGTAATAAGGGTTATACATAAATAACTGTGATCAAATGGACCCTGCATGATGAATTGAGTCACTGGTGTGGTCACCTTTTCCCATAAGCACCATTTTCACATGCTCATCCTTTTCACCCGTTTCCTTAAACCTGTCCCATCTGATCCTGCACATCCTTCTGCTTTGGCCCTCACCGGTTCACCCTTGCCTCCATGTCTGTCCCCCATACCCAGATGTATCAGTCCAGCCCTGGTGGCCAGTCATCGTGCTGCAGTGAGCCGTCGCCACTTGGTGGCGCCTCCCACCACGATAGTGGAGTAGAGACAGCTGTACCCAGCGGGGGCAGCCTGGGAGACCTGAGCACGCTGGATGAGCCCCCCATCGTGGACTCCACCGTCTCCCCAGGTGCCCCGGCAGTCGGCCTCCAGCTGCGCAAGACTGGGAGTGCTACCCACAGGCTTGAACACCTCAAGAAAGAGAAGCTAAAGACCGTGAGGGACTCCTGCTCCTGGCCCAGCCTAGCGCCTCAAGTGCAAAACACCAAGCTGCCTCCCATACCAGTCTCTGGTAAGCACCTTAGGTCCATAGAACTAAACTGCTTCCCATATCATAGTTTAATAAGCACCTCAGGTTCACAATATTAGAAACATCTGTCCAACCAACCCTACTCATATCATATCAGTATCATACAAGGTCACGGGGAGCAGCCGGGAGCTTGTTGCAGGTTGCATAGGGTGTAAGATAGGGGACAACCTGGACAGACCAGTAGCTAGTTGCTTGCAAAGCCAATGACATTATAACTGGTGGAATATCAAGTTTGACATGAGCCTCTGTGTGATGCAGGGTCATTACTGGAGAGTTCGAGCCTCGGTGGTCCAGCCATGTTCCCAGGCCCACGTCTTGGCGAGCTGCCCTACAATGAGGTGACCGTGCTGGACCAGTTGAACCAACGGCGGGACAGCACTACCAGCACCGTCAGCTCAGTCTACACCCTGAGCCGGAGGTCCTCCGGCATCTCACCATGCTACTCCAGCCGCCGCTCCAGCGAAGCCTCACAGTTCGGAGGGCGTCACAACAATGTCAGTTCTGCTGACTCCTACGACCCCATCTCAGCCGACCTATCCCGCCGCTCTAGCGAGGCCAGCCAGTGTGGAGGACTGTCTGGCTTGCTGAGCCTCACTCCTGCTCAGCATTACCGCCTCAAGGCCAAGTACGCTGCTGCCACTGGGGGAGCCCCACCCACACCTCTGCCCAATATGGACCGTCTTAAGACCAGGATGGCACTCTTCGGGGATGGCCATGAGTCTGCCGTTCGCCCATTCCACAGCCCTGCCATGCTGAGGCGATGCAGTGAGTCTGGCTATTCTGCTCCAGGCATGATGCCCCACGAGATCCCTGCAAATATCCCCCGCCGGGCCAGTGACCCTGTCCGTCGTCCGGCCATAGACCCACTGTCACTACCACGGGTGCAGCGATTCAACAGCATCAGTAGCATGAATCCGCTTGCACCCTCGGTGGAGCACCGTGGTCTGAGCCTACAGAACTATACCCGCTCTGACGGTAACCTGCACCGCTACTCCTATGCTTGCCGGCCACCCAGCATCTCTGAGAATGTGGCGATGGAGACCGCAGATGTAGGCCTGCAGGGTGCCGAAGACGATCTGGTGCTGCCGGATGACATGGTGCAGTACTTGCAATCCCAGGGTGGCGAGCCCCCTCAGTCTGCCGCTCCATCAGCGTACCCCAGCCAGGCTCAGAGCCTACTGGGAAGCGGGACCTCACAGCAACAGCAACCTTTCTATGGCCAACGGCGCATGGCTGTTGTCGATGCTAATATGAGCCCAGCAGGACAGATGCAGCTCCCCAGTCAGATGAGCCCCGGGTCCCAAGAGCACTTCCCTGACTCCCCTGGCCTGAACAAGAGCAACATGCCTGTCCAGTGGAACGAGGTCAGTTCGGGGACCGTTGACGCCATGCGGGGTCAAATCAAGCAGCAGCAGCAGCTTATAAGAGGGAATCTGGCCTTGGTTCAGCAGAAACAAAATTTTGGCCCCTACCAGAACCTTGGTGGAAACCAGCAAATGGTGCAAATAGGTCAGAGCCCAGCGGCACAGCAGGGTTTTACTCAACGTGGCTCAGGCCCCACATCCCAGAGGATTAATGGCCTCCAACAGCAGCGGGCACAGGCCATGAGCTCGGGCGATCCGTTAAGCCTGCTTCAGGACTACGAGCAGGACGTCCTGGCTAATAGTGTAAATGGGGCCACCAGCCAACGGCCGTCCTGCAACAATGTGGCCGGGACCATCTGCAGTCCTAATAGCCGAGGAATGGCCATGCAAACTCAAGATGCCCAGAGCTACAGATCGAGAACGCAGCTGGGCAGCAGTCAAGCTCACACCACATATCACGGAAACTACAGCCAGCAGAGCTACACAACGTCCTCCCACCAGTGCGTCCAAAATGGCAGTCAAGGCTTGATGCAGCCAAGGCCACCCACAGAACCCAAACCCCTGAGCAGGCAGCACTCGGGGCCAAGCCTGGCACAGCAGCCTGTATTCCCCCAGCAGGCCTTCAGCTCTGGCTATAGCCCCTCTGACACCAGCCCCACAAGCTCCAGCAGCGTGGGCCACAACTTGGCCGGTGGCAACAGGGAGAATGTCATGTTCTACAGGGGGCAGATCCACATGTTTGAGCCTAATGGTGACTTAGGCTCTCAGGCATCCCCCGCAGCAAGTGCGATGGTCACCATGGCTTCCCCGGGGACCAACCAGGTCTCCAGCACGGTGGATTCCACTCAGGGTGTGGACCATGCCCAGATTGACTTTGACTCTATGCTGGATGATGGGGATCACTCCAGTCTCATGTCAGGCACTCTCAGCCCCAGCCTTCTCCAGAGTCTGTCTCAGAATTCCTCCCGACTCACCACCCCCCGCAATTCAGTGACATTACCTTCTGTACCAGCAGGGGTCAGCAACATGGCCATTGGAGATATGAGCTCCATGCTGTCCGCTCTCGCTGAGGAGAACAGATTCCTCAACATGATGTCTTAAGAGCAGGTGGTGTAGAGCCACCAAATGAGAAACTGTGAGACTGTTAGTTTTCCCCCATCCTGCTTGCTTGTTTAGGAAGTGACTTCACTAGAGGCATTTCCTTTGACACTGATTGGTGTATACAGGGAGAAGTACATTTTCAAGATGCTCTTGCCTTTCCTGCAAACAGAGGACAATTCAGGAGAACTTCCCCAAACCTCATTTCCTTCTCCCCTTGCTTCCTGTAACATGTATTATTGTGTAAAGTATTCTGTTAAAGATGGCAGCCTGCATTTGTCTTAAGAAGCCATACTTTACCTTTACAAGGAACCTTGGACTATGTATGTGAGGCAAACCAGAGTGCTGTTTGATGGTACTGCAGTTTTGAGGCATCGTACAGAACCCAGTCTCTTAAGTGCCTTGCTATGGTGTGCTGAATAGGGAAATGATAATATGTACAAGTAACAGCGACAGGTAACGTGCTGTCATGTACAAAAACATGGATATTTAGAGAAGATGTTTTGTATTGTTGCTGTAAACGAATATACATGGTATTTGCTATTGACTGTGCTAATTGCTTCAGTGTTTTGACTTCATATAATGTTTTCATATGAGGGTTGGTGTTTTGTCACCTGCCGTGAAACACCACTTTCCAAAGGAACGCTCATTGTGTCCTCCTGGTGTTTTCTGGAAGACTGCCGTCCTTTCAGGACAGTCACATCATGCTGTCATATGACACTGTGACATGACGCATGCCCTGATGCTGTTGGCAAGACTCTGGCCGGATTGGACACGACTGGAAAATGCCACCTCCTCAAGAGACTCTCAGAGCAATGTGCGAATGGGAGACACACATTCTGGGATAACTGAGAGATCATTCGTTCGTAGGGAGATGGACTCAGGTAGCAGAGCAGAATCCCGCCCTAACGAAACTGGACCGGTCCAGTTGTCGTAGAACCGCGGGGTGCCGTGGCAACACAGACTCTTTGTCATTGAAATATAGCAGTTTCTTTTCTACGATCCAGTAACATTTCATTGATCTGGTCCTGTACATAGCTTTTGTACATTTTATAAAATACAATTTGACTGTTTTTTTTTACTGTAGTTGAATGTGGAGGCTCTTTGGAATCACAGGGTAATCTCCTCCGGCATCCATGAAAACAAATGGCCATCTGACGTCTCCAGCACATAGGAAGCAGAGAAGATCATGCCGAGGAGTGAGCTTCAGGGGCGGGACACTCGTCTCTGTGTGCGCGGAGTAAATAAAAGAATGTGCATAAATCTCCGGGGGCCGTGTCAATCTGCAGTACGTCTACTTTCCTTTTACAGTAGCTTCATTCATATCCGTCCCAAAAATACCATGAAAACCAAAATATCACACTTCGTGGACAGCCGCGCAAAAGCCGCAGGCTGTAGAGCAGCTCTGCCATAACGCAGTCTTCTAATCATCACCACGGCTCAGAATTAAGGTCCTCTACGGAGTATTCTGGAGGCTCCTTGAAGCCCTCTTTTAATCTTAGAAGAAAATTAGTCCTGATTGATTAAATAATGTAAAACCAAACTTTGTTCTTTGAAGCTATCTGTCCCAACAATGCCTTTCCCTCTGTGGCAAATCACCCCAGACATGTAAAAGATGCCGTGCGCTTTTCAAAGCAACTGCGGGCCTTTGAAATCGCTTCTGCCTCCCTGTCCGTGGTGCTGCTAGGGCCACATTCCCAGTTCGCTCTGAAACCGAATGAAAAAGGATCCTGTGAAAATACTCAATGCACACACTAAGCACTTTCTAAAGTTAGCTGGCTTGTAGTCCAAAATTAACAATGGCAGATCGACCCAGAGGAAATTGTTGTAGAAACCACATTAAACACCACTTGAAGGGATTGGAGTCCAAGGACTGAGCCTGGGTGTAAGCGGGGGGAACAAATGATTTTATTCTGACAGCTAATTCAGCTGAGGGGCAGCTTGATCCGAATTTGCTGATTGCTTTTGCCACTGGAATTCTTTATTCTCTCAGTGAGACGAAGGAGGAAAACAGCCTGAGGAGGAGAAATCTCACAGGGCGAAGAACAAGAGGTTTGAGGGAGACGCGGGCAGATCAGCAACTTCAGAAAGGCCTGTAATTGGGTGACAGCACTAATGGGATGGGAAAGTGCATTTTGATATGTAAATGGCTAAAGGCAGCAAAGATTAAAAAAAAATAATTATAACAAAATTACCCTATGGTCATACAGCTGTGATTCAGACTGGAAATTTTCGGAAACATGCGGACAGATGTCCCCATCAGGCCAAAAATGCAACATCCATCCATCCATCCATCCATCCAACCACCTTCTGACTGCTTATCTGGTACAGGACCACAGGGGGGCATGGAAGGGTGCAGGGCAGGGCTACACCTTGGGCATCCATCACAGGGGCCCAGTAAGAAAATACTTTTGTTAAGATGCTTTTCCTTATAATCTTGTTCATCATCCTTTTCCCAGCTCCCCGAAGGCCTGAAAGACTTGCAGTGTGCCAGCATGATGTGGTATCATGGCAGCGTTCTGCTGGCAGGCAAAGAAGTGCCAGGCAATGATTTCCATTTGTCCCAGTGACTCATGCACTGGAAACATTGGAAACCATTACAAAAACAAAAATACAATTCCTTCCCAGAAGGACCCAGTGATTCATTTAGTCACATGATCAGGGCACTAGTGCACATAGGAGGCAAGTCAAGTTGCATGCTAACAACCAGCCTAACAAACATACTGGAACCGTAACGGCAATTCCACTCCCAATGCTAACGCTAAGAAATACACTGAATCCCTAACAGAAACCCTCCAGCACTGTGTACCTCAGAACTACGGTGAAAATCAATAAGCCAATTAAAGGATGCCGAGTGTGTCAGACTGGCCTAATGAGTTTACATATACAGTAGGAGAACTCACAATATCCCATAATAGGCACTGTGTCTGTCTGCCAGTGTCCCAACACAGGCCAAAGTAGGGTCCATTTAGCTGAGTGAGTTATACAAAAGTAAATAAAATGTTTCTCTCTTTCCACAAACCAGAAAGTAAATAATTACACATAGTTAATGCCCCAGAAAACAAATATTAAGATCTGATGAAGTGCTGTGGACATAGATTGTGGCCATAAAAACATGGGTCTTGAAGAACATTTTCTGGGTGATCATCAAAAGTCGCCCAAACATGACTCTGCATAGGAATCAGCCGTATCTCCCCCTGGCCTTCAAAGAGACTCGCAAAGGAGTGAAGATGTTTCCACGGCTCGGGCCGCAGAAAGCTAAAACCACATTAATGAGTCCTTTTGTTCATCAGCCCAAGTACCAGAACTGTGGTCTTCAGATCTCACACAGAGAGACAGAAATACAGAGACGTACCACTCCTTTGCATCTCTCCATCTCCACTTTCCCAGAAGCCACTGTGCCTTTAAAGTACATTCAGTTTCACGTATGAGTCACAGACGACAGCAGTACAGATGATGTGTTAAGCAAGGATGTGGCAAATGTCTAGAGAAAAGTATCTGATTTTATTTCCCTGTGTTTTCTTTACATTTCAACAGCTGTTAAGCAGCACAATATCTATTATGTATGTCTATAATGAACAGGAGATTATTGGTTGCAGTGGTTGGCAATGCAGTGCCGTACCTGCAGGTTGTGGGTTTGATTCCCAGCTCCTGCTGTGTATGTGTTCTCCTGTTTCCTCCCCTAGACAGGTAACCTAGTGTGTCTGACCATAGTGAGTGATTGTGAGCATGTAGGGTATGTGCTGGGGTCAGTTTTTTCCCCACTGCGACTGTAATAGCTTATTATTTTGCACTGGATCCATTTATAGATCTGGATGCGATGAGTGTCATACCTTTTTCAGGGGTCCGATAACAGAGCTTCCCTGGAACCATTTATACTACATGGTCAGGATCCTCTGCCACAGATGGATTTGATGTCCAAAGTTCCACAATGCTGTTTCAAGGATAGTTTGTGTACTCATTTGGAGTCATATTTGGACACATACTACTGGGAGTAAAAACTGGGACCATAGTCCCTACTCCCGGGGTGGGTCAGGAAAGGCTTTGTGATGAGCTGACACCATAGATAATCAGCAGATCAGCATCTCAGCATACTTTCCTCGACCGCCTGCTATGATCCCAACTGGACAAGCAGTAATTGATGAGTTACATCTGCCTGTTTAACAAGGTAAAATACCTGGTATGGTAACTATAGTAGGTGTCACTCTCACACATCACATCACTGACCAGGGTCCATCTCCAGAGCTTTGGTTTGCATACCAGTGAGTCTAGTTTAAGCCCCTCGCAAAAACACATGGCAGAGATCCCCCCCCCCCCCCCCCCAGCCCAGTCCCCCGTTGCTCAGATTACAGTGATACAAAAAGAAACAGCGACTGCCACGATAAACGGTCTAATCTGCAGACATCAAGGGACGCCATCGATCCAAATTTAGTGCATAGTATGAGGTGCCAGAGACATACCTCTGTGACCCGAGACATGCCGGAATATTCTGGAAAATCGGTGACTAAAAGAGATCAGTTGCCCCAGCAGGCCGAGCCTCATGTTCAGTAGGACTGCGAGAGGAGGCGTCCCTGAACACCTGACTGCTGCCAGCAGACTGACCTGATAACAGGAGACGAGTGGGGGCTGCTCCCCCCAAAGGGAAATGCAGGGATAAACTCAACAGCAAGCACATTTAACCGCAAGTGATGAATTAGTTGAAGGTCTTTCACTCTTCAGCATGTCACTAATCAATAAAGTCAGCAATTATTCTGCTGAAAGATGCAAATGAAAAGACAGTTTTAATAATGTATATAAGTGAAGATCCGCTGTGGAAATTCTGCATGCTTGAAAGGGGCTTGGGGCTTTGAGAACTGGTTTTGCGAGCCCCCAACTGGTTCCAGCTAGAGAAGCACAATGGAGCCGCTGTTCCTGCGGGTGGCCGGGTCAGGGAACTTATCAAGCCCCCATCAGAGAGGAAACCACATGTCCAGAAGGCAAAGATTTTGAGCGCACTCCGTTGCGGCCGGGTGTTGGGGGGGGGGGGGGCAATTTGTTGTACTCAGATATGGACAATATGTAACATGATAAATTCCCAGACTGCATGTCTACACGTGAAGTGCGTAATGTTGTTTTTTTTAAAGGTTAAAATGTTTCTTTAAAATATATATGTATTGAAAAAACTATGTAGCAATAAAGCTTCGATTATTATGATAAAACACTACTAATGAGAAAGCTCATGAAGAAAGGTTTATTATTCAAAGGACAAGAGTTTAATGATGGTGATGCAGCATGGCGGAGACTCAAGCTCTCTGGCTTGCGATCGTTGTGATACACAGGGTCCATCGCTGCGGGATGGGTGGGGTCGGGCCCCTCAAAGGCACAAGGCAGAGTGCAGCAAGGTAAGACCATGCCGAGACCCCTAAGGCTCGGGGGGGCCTTGTCAAACTGCCACGTCAGGCTCCCCCTCGATTCCCCGATCTGTCGCCTCAGCGAGAGCCTGCAGGCTGAGGGGAGATGGTGCGCCTGTCGCTCAGACCAGTGAGAGCTCAGGAATTTTGATTGGACTGCGGGGAGACGGACACGTGTGGCTGCATGACCTTATTAAACAGGGAGAAGCTCTACATCATTCTTCCACGTTGCCCTGCTCCCCAGTGAGCTTCCACGTCAGCCGCCATTGTCCTTCATACTGTAAACTTTACTGCACCTTCTCACGGAGCCAGAGAGAGTGAGCACAGGGAATGGGTGAAGGCCCTTATTGTGTTGCCTGCATACAACTTGAGGCTGCAGCTGAATTTCTAGGGCATCTGAAGACAAACACAAAGGATATGGTCTGTCCCCATTGTTAGCAGGACGCAAACATCACCCCTCACAAGAGCTACAGCAGTTCGAGCTGCAAACGCACAGTGTGGAGCCCCCATGTGCTGCTTGGTGCTCGCACCAAATCACCAGGCTGGACACCAAAGACAAACTGAGAGGCTATTCCACCACAGAAGAGACCAATCACAGCACTGCATTTGTGACAAACCAGGCCTCGGCCACCTGAGTGGGAGGAGGGCCCAGGAGGCAGAACCCCCCCCCCCCC